TCTATTCTATTCTATTCTATTCTATTCTATTCTATTCTATTCTATTCTAAGAGATGGGGCCAGGGCAGACTGGCAGTCAGCTACTGCCTTCTGGTTCAGACAGCAGTGATGCGGGGAAGCTTCTGGAACCGGTTCCCAGACTGCATATGCCTAGAGCTAGCAAAAGACAAGAACAACTGGGAAAGCAGGGTCAATGTTATTATCATTGTTAATCATTTGACTATACTATTATTCATTCATGTTATGCGGTCCCCTTTTGGGACCTTCTAACAAGCACACTCAAGCCAGGTTCATTTAACAACCAGGCCACTAACTTAAGGTTGTGGTTCGCCGGCAGCAGGTGCAGACGGCTGAGGTCTCGGAGAGCGAGGACTCGGATGAGGGGCCTGCGTGTGATGTAGGGAGGGGGCCAGGACTATCGGAGAGTGGGGTGCTGCCTTCGGAGCTCGTGGAGTGTGGCAGCAGCAAAGCAGAGGATCCCAGGAAGCCAGTGTGCGTGTGCGCAGGGCTGCTTGAAGGAAAGAGCAGCTGCAGCAGCACGGACGACTTGGGAGTAAGGCTGCAAGGTGATGGCCCCTCCCATAAGGGATAAAAGCCAGCCCTCGGGTTGGGTTCTTTGCAGGAAGCAAATAAGTTCTTGCGCTTCAAGTTCTTGTGGAAGTCCTGTCTATTCTGGTTTGTTTTCGGAGACTTTTGATTTTAGATATTTCCCTGCCATTAATCTTGTGTTCTTAGCAGCCTTTCACAACCTTGAAAGGGCTTGCTCTTATCTGGGACAAAGAGTTTTCATGACCCTTTGCTGTGAAGGAACAGAATTCATAGAGACGCATTAAAAAAGTTTGCTTTTATATATACTTTGTGTTTATTTGATTTGAACGAGGCTTGGGTCAGAACACTTAACAACTGCAGTGATTCACTAAACGACTGTGGCAAGAAAGGTCATAAAATGGGGAAAATTCAATTACCGACTGTCTCGCTTAGCAACAGAAAGTTCGAGCTCAATTGTGGTCGTAAGTCGAGGACCACCTGTATTTCACAGGGCTTTTGTTAAGATAACTTGGAAAGGGAATTCAGTATTATGATTGCCACCTTGAGCTGCTTGAATTAAAACAGAACTCTATTTATGTGTGTCTGCATCAGGATAAAAAAACTTTCCTTCCTTCAATGACTTTCAGATTTGATATTTGAATGACTTAAGAAATTGATGAAGAGGAGATAAAACACTGAAAATTGTTTTGAAAGACTTTGTCACAGCAAGATTTTTGAGAGGACAAATATCAGAAAGCTTTCCCCCCCCCTAAAAAATAGGTGATGTGTATGAAATTGGGTTTTTTTTTTAGCTATCGTTAAGGTTCTTCTTGCTTTTATCCATAGAATTGCTCAACCTCTTTCTAAATCTCAACTTGAATTTAATGGCTTTATCATAGTAGTTGAACTGCTTAAGGACCTCCCATGACCACCCTGTTTAGGAGAAAGTATATATTTTAAATTAATGTCCAGGCAGTTATTATAATCATGTTGATGATTCACTTCTCTGATTATAACAGGGGTGTCAAACTCAGAGCTTAGGGCCGTGATGGCGAACCTATGGCATGCGTTCCACAGGTGGCATGCAAAGCCATTTGTGTGGGCATGCGGGCCCCAGCCAAACTTACCTGTACTGCGCATGTGCACACCTCCCAGCTGATTTTCGGCCCGTTTTGAGGTCTTTTTTGCCCTCCCGGGAGCTCAAGGGAAGACTCTGCAGCCTTTGGAGGCTGAAAAACAGGTGTTCTGGAAATACCGGAAGTGACGAAACCGGAAGTGCCAAAACGGGCCTGTTTTTCGGCCTCCAAAGCCTGCAGAGGCTTCCCTTGAGCCCCTGGGTGGGCCAAAACGGCTTCAAACGGGCTGAAAATCAGCTGGGAGGCACACACATGTGCAGTGAAGGCCGGGGGGGGGGGTTGTGTGCGCATGTGGGGGGGGCACATTTCATTGTGGGTGTTGGCACACGTGCGTGCTATTGCACGCGCGCTTTCAGCACACCACAACAAAAAGCTTCACCATCACTAGTTTAGGGGCTGGATTCGGCTGGCGGGATGCTTAGATCTGGTCTGCGGGGCCAAAATGGCGAAGGACCAGCCCGTGGTGCCTCTGCCAGCAAAACTGGAGCTTGTGAGGGTTGCGTGCGGTCCTTTGCTGGCAGAGGGAGGCCGTTGTAGCTAAAAATGCAACTCAGGAGCCCGTTTTCACTGGCAGAACACTTGTGCCACCAGAGCCCACCCCCCCAACACAAATGACATCATGCTGGCCATGCCCCCTGGCCATACTCCCCCCCCCAAGGTCAAACACACCCTGATGCGGCCCTCAAATGAAATTGAGTTTGACACTCCTGGATTACAAGAAATGTGATTTCACTATTACTATGAGTGAGCCAGTGCTTGCTGACCATGTAGCCTAAAGTTGCAAATTTAGGACTATTAAGACAGCTGATGAATCTCATTCTTTGCCCTGAAATAGCCAGCAAAGATATTCTATAATATTAGATGCCCTACACTCAGATGTATAGATTGAAAACAGGAAGGTCAGTTCACAACTCTGTAGGAGCCAGGCAGCTTCTTAATAGTGACACTCTGTTTATATTCACCTTGTTTGCCATCAGAGACTTTGTTTATATGCCATGCTTGCTCATCATTCATTTACCTGTGATTTATTTAGCTGAGTTTTCCAGGTATATATGGACATTGTTTTCCCACAACACAGACT